CGAGTGCTCTCAGAGAGCAGGAGTGCAAGCCGAGTAGAAAATCGTTCGGCTGTCTGTTGTGTTTGCAGCTTCTCGACGTCGCACCTTCCTTGTGTTTGATGGCGTGCGTTTTTTGCTGCACAGAGGCGGGTGCGAATCTTGGCTACAACAAGATAGTGGTCCGAGTCGATGGTAGGACCTCGCAATGCACGCTAATCTAAAAGACTGGAGACGTGTCTTCCGTCTATCGCAACATGATCGATCTGGTTGGTGGTTTTTTGATCCGGAGACAACCAGGTAGCTTGATGAATCTTCTTATGMTGGAATCTAGTACTATAGATAACCATATTTCGGGCCCCGGCGAAGTCGATCAGTCTCAACCCATTTGGGGATGTTTCCTCGTGGAGGCTGAATTTACCGACCGTAGTGCCAAAGATACCTTCTTTGCCCACACTGGCGTTAAAATCGCCAAGCACGATTTTGACATCGTGGCGAGGGCAGMTCTCATAAGTGCTTTCCCAGCATTCATAAAAGGCATCTTTGGTCACCTCGTCCTTCTCTTCCGTCGGGGCGTGGGCGCAAATCASCGATATGTTGAAGAACCTCGCTTTAATGCGGATTGTGGCTGCACTTTCATTCACCGGGGTGAATGATAGTACTCGGCGACGGAGTCTCTCTGCCACCGCGAATCCCACACCAAACTTGCGCTCCTTTATATGGCCACTGTAGTAAATGCCACAAGGACCTATTCGTCTCTGTCCTTGTCCTGTCCATCGCATTTCTTGGACGGCGGTGATGTCAGCCTTTATTTTTACGAGGACATCAACCAGCTGGGCAGCGGCACCTTCCCAATTAAGGCACCGGACATTCCAGGTGCATGCCCTCAATTCGTAGTCCTTATTTCGTTTGCCATGGTCGTCATCAAAATTGGGGTCTCTCATCCGAGGCTGTTGTTGCGTTGTCATTGGGGTGGTTATTTTACGTGGCGGGTCCCAAACCCAGCACACAACCCTATGCAGGGAATGTTTCGCCTTCTCACTTTAGCTCGCCTTCTAACTGCTGCTTGAGTCATATGTAAAAGAATCGTTTCTGGCCACTCCCAAGTGAATGGCGATCAGAGAACTTTCCTCACTTGCGTGAACTTCTACATATGACTCCATCCTCCATTTTGACARTTAACTAAATAATATTGATACAAGAGCAACTCTTAACAAGTAAGGAAGGGCWAATATCGGGTGCAACCGAACATTTTGTACTCTGGCAACTTGCAAAAACCAAAGCCGGGGAAATACTTTAAGGTGTAAAACCAATAATATAGAGTAAAGACAACCRGATATTCGAAATTCCTGATATTAGTTATATGGGGCTAGGCCAAGGTGACCATGGCTACTGAGACCCCCTGTGCCAAAKATGAGTTTTATATCTTAATTTAGTGCTTAGTTAAAACACTTTATATGTTTTGGTTTGTTGGTGATTTGTGGGCGTGGCAGTGGTCCGATTACGCTCATCTACGAACTCGACCTTTTTGTACTAAGAAATCTGGAAGTTTAATCAAGATATCTCAATTTTTACTCAAGTTACTGTTTGCACGGACGGACGGACGTACAGACAGACAATCAACCGGATTTCAACTTTTCTCATCATTCTGATCATTATATATATATTATATAATCCTATATCTATCCTAATTAGATTTATTCAATACGTATAACCGTTAGATGAACAAAATTACGTACATACATACTATACTTATGAATAATACTCTGTAGAAACTGGTTCCAAGAGTATTAAAATGTGTGGAAAGACGTCGTTTTGCCGACAGAGGCGTTCTCACAAGCTAGACTAGAGGAGTTGGAAATAATAATATAGCAATATGAAAGTATATAAAAAATACGATAATTATTTCCTTTTACACGATAATACTTTTTATTACGTAAAAATACTGCTTGGACGACCATCGAACCACCGAAAGCTCGAAATTCATTTAATGGTTTTTATTTTTTTASAGCAAAATGTTTTTCATAATATATTTAAAACCACTTTTTACACGTGCTAATCATCGTAAATACTAATATATACATACATATGTACATATGTGCAAATTTATTTTTCCTTTGTATTGGSAGCAGCTTTAAACGCACAGTTCGCTCAGTCGGTCCTTATGTTTTTAACCTCATAAGCCTGAAAGTTAATGAAATAAATGACCTCAGTCATAATTATAATGTGACTTTAATTATGCATGATGTTTTCAATAYTTAAGCAATTAATAAATATGACCTACATTGTTAGTAATAACCTTCGGGCATAGAACTAATTCACGGTTTAATAAAATTTTGCCCATTTTGCAACCATGACATTTCTTCGGCATTGTGCCTTATCAAATTTCACTCCCTGTTCGAAAACCTTGGCTGATAACACAGACCAAATGTTTTCCATAAGATTTAGATTTGGGCTAATTGCAGGCCAATCGAAAAATTTTATATTCCGAGACAATAAGAAATCCAATCCGAAAAAACCACTTGTTCTGTTTTTTTTTAATTCCTGTTAACTGCGAGCACCTGACATAACGTAACATTTCGTAAATAAGTTAATATATGTGGCCAATATGGCCTTCTTCATATAAGGAATTTAGTTTCTGTGGCAATAATTTGCCTGTGTTTCATTTATTTTTTCATTAATAACTTTTGTATAAAACATTTTGTTCTAGAATGAACGGTATTACACTATTCTTCTGGTACATGGGCTGGGGATACCGCAACTCCATTTGTACAAAATATATTGTCAATACATTTTCAAAAACAAAAATGTCCTAAATAGAKTACTTTACTGCAGTCCTTTCGCAAATACATACATATATATGGACACATACACACATATAAACTTACACCCCATGCTCTTTTTTATTTCAAAATTGAAACGTCTTGCAGATAGTCACCTGTCAATAAAGTGTCAAATTATGAACGGCAGATTGTAATTGAATTTTTTTAGATGAGTTATAAATGCAAAGTAGAGATGAGTGATGCAAGTCAACACCAGAATATTAAAAAGGCTCTTTCCATTTTGTGAATGCAAAAAATTTCCACCAACTTAGAGTGTATTTTCTATAAAAGGTGCATTCTTAGCGGCTATTTGAGCATTCAAAGCGAAGCATCCTCTGTGAAAGCAACTGCAATGGCTGAAATTCTAAAGAAGTCCAGTACGGCAGTCGGAATTATGGTCTTAACGTTGACTGTTTGTATCGCCATAAATTCAGYGGTAGGCAGCAACTTGGATGGAATGCAATCAGAATCACATGATATTAATTCTAATGGTAATGAAGCATCTGGTGGTATGCCTCTGGAATCGCTCATCGATGGCCGAAGGATATTTAAAAACCATCGCTATTTGCGATCAATATACGGTTACGGCCCGAAAATGTTTCAAATATCCCGTTCTAAGATCCCAATAGAACTCGATTTGTTAGTAGAAAACGAAGACGGAGATCGATCAAAGCGTTTTGACGATTATGGACACATGCGCTTTGGAAAAAGAGGGGGCGAGGAACAGTTTGATGACTATGGCCATATGCGATTTGGGAGAAGTACTTAGACATAAACTAAGAAAAATCACTAATGTTGCCGATTGACTAATCAGATGTAAATAATACAATGTAGAGAACATACATATATCCGTATAAATTTAATAAAGTGTGCACTTGAAGCAAACAAATCTGTTTCAATATAGAAGCAGATCAACTAACTTGTTCATTTGTGTTATATATTATTATTTTATRTCTTCGAGTATGTGGTATCTCGGAACTGTTGTGGGCCGACATCGCACATTTTCAGCATTAAACTATCGTATATGTAGGATTTGCTTGTTGATGATTCCATATTGTTGTATCACTTTACACTTTTCTCTTTTTAACTTTTTGAACTGATTCTGTGCGCCTAATTATTGCGTACCCCTTAATTGCTCTCAAAGTACTAACAGTTCCTGCCTATTTTCTCTCTGTTCGCAGAATACGATCAGACCTCACTCAGTAACAGTTTCTCTACTCCTGCTACTATGCTTATTTGCGCATTTACAGTCTATACATAGTATCGTAATGCGTTGCCTACTTCTAACGTTCTAGCAAATACAATTGCCTACAAAATATTAGCACTCCAACATACGCACGTACAGTGACATACAAAATACGCTCCGACACTGCCTTCCTGACAAAGCACACGTCATTGTGTGTTTACTTTAAACCATAATACTTTAACATTTCAGTTGTTATTATTTTTTCTTCTTTTTATTTGTTTACAAACATTTTATTAACATTTGTTCACATACATAAAATTCGAGGCTGTAAAACAAAAYCAAGCAATAGGCAAAAGTAAACAAATCGGTTTCTTGACAACATTTCATAAATTCTTTTTCAATACATTTTCTTCTTAACCTTACTTAACAATTCATATTAAAGTAATTAGCTTTATCAACTGGTGTATTTTCTTTTACACCCAATTACAGACCCCCGMMATCTGTTATGGTGCGGTCATTATATCCCCTCTTGGGATTTCAAGACCAYGCCAAATACTAGTATATACTCATTACATGTGCTCATGATACGTTCTACCTGCCCGTTCTACTCGCACCTGTAGCAATTAAATGTAGCTMAATTTTTTGAGAAGAACAAAATTCTGAACTATCAAAATGTCGGCCCTGATCCGCTATACTTCTAGTAGGTACTCTAAACAAACAAATGACAAATGTGTGCCACGGATTGTCTACCTTTGGAAACGGATGTAATTCAGCCTGCGTTTTTTCAACTATTGGCTATTACAAGTGTTACAATTTGCGACAACCCACAAACATACTTTGACATATTTTCAAACCAATGAAATCCATAGACTTTGTTCAACGTTTTTTCCCCAACCTAAATGCATAATAGCTTCGTGGACGTGGCTAATCACTTTCTATATAAAACTCCTTTTCTCAATTCATATGTTTTATCTAAATTTTCTGTCAACTCATTATTTTTTAGCTTAGCTAATAACTTGGCTACCTCGGAATCACGTTGTTGTTCAGAAATCCGCCAATTATCAGTTACACAGTCAATTCGACTCGCTTTTCAACTAATTTCTCCACACTTTTATATTCTTTAATCAAAGTATTCCTTGATAAAAAATCTACGTGTGCCATACGTTCTCCTTTGGTATATTGGATATCAAAAAGAAATGGCCGAAGAAAAGCCAACCACCGATGCACCTTCGGTGATTGGTCCGATTTTATAGGGATAGCTTAGCTTTTAGTGAATTACAATCAGTAAATACTACAAATTCACGACCCTGTAAATAATGACGAAAATGCTTATTGGCATTGACGACAACCAAAGTTTCAAGTTTGCACGGGCGACATTTCGATTACTAAAATTTTCGACAACAAGGGGCTTTTTGTCTAATCTATTTAACAATACTGCCACATATACACACAGCTGGAGCGTTTTTTAAACCAAATGGCATAGTMAAAAATTCATATTGACCTTCATGCAAAAACGGTACGCTAGATTGAATCTGGATGTACCGGTATTTGATAGAACTCGCTAGCCATATCAAGACATGAGAAATAGCAATGGGAACTTGTATGCGGCTCTGTTCTCATTCAAAGCACAGTAATCCACACAAAGACGATCACTACCATTTTTCTTTTTAACAAGCATAATCTGACTAGCGAAAGTTGAATAGCTGGGACGAATAATATTAAATTTCAGGAGCTCATCAATTTTATAACGTACATGCTCTTTCTCCTCTTCACTAAGTCTATATGGTCGGCGCTGCACTGTCCCTTGTGGATTTATTAATCTTATTTCCAAATGCCCTGTTGTTACACGAGTATGTGGTATTCCCCCAATAAACCAATCAGAATAGCGTTTTATAATGTTTTTTAAGTTACTCAGGTCGCTATCGGAATCTACAAGCTTTTCATAATCTGCAAAAGTTACCACATTAACTCTTTTTTTTTACTTAGTTTAATGATTGGCTTAATATTACACGGCCAATCAAAACATCATATATAGGTATTTATCCATTACAATGAGCAACAAAATCTCAAGACAATACTGTTCAATGTTTTGAAAGAATGTTAGAAAGAATTTTTAAAGAACTACAAATGGAGTAGTTACCTATGCCATTTARTTTTTCAATATTATTAAGACGTTTTCCTTTAAATTTGTCTGCAACACTTTCCTTCACCAGTCAAAGCAAAATGGAATGGAACTAACCTGATAAATTAATTATACCCCTGCTTCTTCTTCTTGATTGGCGTAGACA